TTTTAAAAACCTTTTTAACTTTTCCTTGATAATCAATAAATCTGTTCCAGAAAAAAAACAAGTAAATAAACTTTCTTTTTTTCTGCTCTTAAACTATTGTAACATAGTTTTAAAAAAAAATCAGCGTGCATTTTATGCTTGATAATAAATAACAGTGAACAAATGATTATGTGGTTGATTAGGCCAAAATTTAATTGAATTAAAATTTTAAGGAAAAAAAAAGGAAGAAAAAGTAGCAAAAAAAAGGATAAAAAATTAAGGAAATATTAGATTATTATCCATACATTCAGCGCACTGTCAATCGCTCTTCAAAACACAGTACTGTAGTTTAAACCGTTTTTGATAACAGTTTTTTGTTGCTTCCGTCTAAAATTCAACTCAGCAATGCTCATTCCTTGTTATGAACATAGTCCAAATCTATTACTACTATTAATTTTATTCACTAAAATAACACTTGAATTTTACACCAATAAAATACACCCGGGGAAAGAAGAAAAGACCCCAGCAAAGTTATTTAACAGCTTTTTGCTTTTGGTTAGTACCAAAAACAGTGCCATTATTAATGGCTTCAAATTTTTGCGTAATGAATACCGGCAATAATAAATTAAAAAAAGGATAATGAATCAGTGTAATACGTTTCAATCGTTAAAAGATTTGGTAAGTTCACTTCTTCAATAACTGACATCCATACTAATTGCTTTTCTGGTACCTCAGTTTTAATTTCTGCCAATTTTACTGCACCAAAGTAATTTTTTTCTAAATAACTCTTGCAGAATAGAGGTGCAATAATCCAAATGCTTGATGAAATTTACCAAACAATGTCAGTTTCACCGCTTTGCTCACTTTTTTTTCTCTGTTATAGCATACATATTTAACTGTAATGTGATAAACGGCATACAGCTTCATCTTTCCTTCTTCATCTTCGTTCTCATTGAATACATCGAAAAGTTCAACAAACAATCGAACAGTAAATGAAAAATATCTGTGCAATATTTTTAAAACACTAATAATCACATAAATTGAAGAGGAAATAAATTCTTTCTCCTTAATTCCAACTACTTATAAAATGAATTACTTTCTTCTTCCACTTCTTATTTTTGCTTCTTTAAAATAGCGGTTATACATTCGTGAAAAAAAGGGAAGGAACAGCAAGGTTGATTATAAACAGATCAATGCCACTCATGTAGAAATAGATGAATAATTACAGCAAAAAAAAAGCGGATGAAAATACTGATGAAGCATGTAAATGCATCAACTTCGTCGTCATCGAAATGCAAAGGTGGACAACAACAACAACAAGTAATTTCAGCTGGATACAGATTACAATAAAATGAACGGCGAAGAACCGCAGCAACAACCACAATAGCAACAACGAACAACGATATTAGCAATAACAACGGTACCGGCAGAAGCAGCAGCAACAACAGCAACAGCAACAGGAACAGCGATTCCACTGGTTATAGTTGAAAGGTTCGGATAAATTCCTAAGGAGGACAAGGGACGAGTGCGGTAGGCAAAAAGAACGAAGATAAAAGCGTAAAATAGAAACATCGTTGAAGACAAAACGAAGCAGAAGTATTCAATTAGAAAAACCAATGTTATAGAGCTTATTGAAGATGATTTAAGATATGCAGTTGTTACTATCAATGCCGACATTTAGTTCTCTAGCCGCTAAGTCCCGCCCAATCCTTTCGATCAACCAAAGACATTTTTACAACAAGATGCAAAAATATTTTTAATAACGCTGTCGAACGCCATAATTATCGCTACCATTAGATTCGTCCCATTTATCTTTGCGTAAGATGAGTGCAAAAAAAATAAATAAATAAATAAATAAA